ACTCCTCGGAAGGAAGGTTGGGCAATCCTACTTCCGTAGTGATACTGCCTTGGAAACCCAAGGAGGGGTCGCTATGAGTCGGGGTCGACTCGACGGCACATAACAACAACAACAACAACGTTACTTAAGCTTTTCACCCATTTGATAATGTTTGATACTTATATCTCAGCAAAATAAACTGATGGGAATTTTATTAAATTATCTATTTGAATGCATTGATTTTGTCAATTTTTGTTAAGATTTTATAACTTACCTTCCACATGCTATCTGGGTCACTCTATTTCCAACAAGCTCAGTCACCAAACGGGGTCTTGGTTCATTCTGTGTTGAATTGTGACCAAGTTGCCCACAGTTTCCAGCACCAAAAGTAAACACCAGCCCATCCTAAAGAAAGAGAATTTTATATCAGATTTTAGAGAAATGATAGAGAGGTACCATCCTCTGCACTAGTGAATAATTAATAAAAGCACCATCAAAGTAAAACTCCCAAATTATCAGAAGTCCTGTATGTTGGAAGTGACGTTTTTTCCCTTGCAAACACTAACTCTCCACACCTAGATGGTCAAGTATGGTCCCCATCACAAAGTGTTTTTTTTGTAGAATGACAGTCAGAAAGATACTAAGTCACACAGATACCCACCTGTGTGAGCAGAGCAGTGTGAGAGCCACCACAAGTGAGAAATTCAACTTCCTGGTTGTCCAGTTCTTCAATAAGAGAAGGAAAATCTGTATCTATGCAAGGGAAAGGATAGTTGAAGCGACTAATACATGCTGGATTTCATATAGGAGTTACGTGCTACTAGTAAACCATGTGTACTGATACCTTTCAATCCAGCAAAGAAACACTTTATGTTGGCATATTTAGGCTCAAGTTCCAGGGCTAAAAGTGGGGGTGGCACAGAGGTTGACAGGTCCACATTTGGAGGAGCCCACCTCATAAATAGTCAGTGTACTTCCCACAGCCTGTTCTGTTTCAACCTGACTTGATTAACTGTAATTGCAGCGTATCTGATATTTCCAATTCTCATTTAAAATTGCTTTTTTTCTAAATATAAAAGAAGTTTTTTTTTTTTTTTTTTTAAAGTAAATTCTTTACTACCGTGTCCTTGCTGCACACTCCAGTACTCTTCTTTCCTTCAGGATTTTCTCTTACGAAATTCTGCAAAAATAGTTAAACTGTCCCTTTGCTCCTTTCTCCTCTTTAACAACTGTTCTAATAATGACTTATAGGCTACCCTGTGTAATTAGCATTGAACCATGTTAGTGAGAAATGCGATGTTTGACCAATGAACAGGGGATGATGTTTACTACCACATTTGCATAAAGCAGTAGAGTTTATTACACCTGAAAACTCTAATAAGTTGGGATCATGAGAAATTTTGACATCTGCTTTGTAGAGGTAGTTTAATAACAGGAATCAATATAATATATTGACAGACATTAAGGGCAAAAGCACCTTGGAGATCCTCTTGTCCAAACCTGTCCTTCACAGAAAAGAAAAAAAATACAGATCTTGACAAAAACGTAAGTCACTTGGCAAGACCCTCAGTTATTAAGCCCGTGTATTCTCATCCCCACTCCAGTACTCTTACCCTTTTCTCCACATAACCCTGAAACATGTCTCAATTACAGTAACAACTTTCACTATGCATCAGCCTCCTGGACTGACTCTGCCCTAACCAGAGTGCCTTATTAGGAAGAACTGTGAATCGAAAAACAGTGCATATAAAAGGATTTGAAACATTTTTGATAGAGAGATCTATGTTAAATTCATCTCTTACTAACAAATATATTTATTGATAATATGAATTTGAAAAAAAAAATATTTCCATACTGTCAGTGTGACCCAGGCCTAGTTGTCCCAAATCATTCTTCCCCCAGGAATAAACACTTCCGGACATGGATAAGGCCATGCTGTGGGCTTCTCCTGCTGCTATCTGAACCAAGGGGACTCCTGTGAGATGGGCCACTATCTGTGGTGTGGAAGTTGAGCCAACTATTCTTCCAACTCCGAGTTGGCCGTGTAAATTCTGGCCCCAGGCAAAAAGCTCACCACCTGGACAAAAACAAAGAAAATACTGATTTATTAAGTTTAAAATGCAGCAGATATTACCCTATGGTATTTTATTAAACCAAAAATCAAACCCACTATCATCAAGTCCATCATGACTCACAGTGAAAGTGTAGAACTGCCCCATAGGGTTTCCAAGGCTGTAAATCTTTACAGAAGCAGACAGCATCTTTCTCCACTGGAGTGACTGATGGGTTCAAACTGCCAACATTTTGGTTAGTTGCCAAATGCTTTAACCACTGTTCCACCAAAGCTCCTACATAGCTATATATAAAAAAAACCTAACTCACTGACGTCGAGTCAGATCTGACTTATGACGACCCCTCCTCGGGTTTCCAAGGCTATATCACTATGGAAGTAGATTGTCTGATCTTCCTTCCGAGGAGTGGCTGGAGGGTTTGAACCGCCAGCCTTCTGGTTAGCAGTCAAATGCCTTAGGCACTATGCCACTAGAGCTCCTATATAAGCTATACACAATATAATATCAAAATATATTATAGTCACATGGTAGAATTCTTAGATTCCTGTATGTCTGAATCAGGAAAATATGGAAGAATTTGCCCATCAGCCATTAACAGTTATCCTTAATCCCTATCTTCCAAGTTAAAGGGTACAATAAAGTCATTTGTTGCAATCAAATTCAAGACATTTTTTTAACCCATAGGATGAGCTTATGAAACAGAAACATACTGTCTCTGGAAAAATATAATTCATAGTTATTAATTTCTCTACCCCCATTTTATGTGCCTAAAGGTCACAAACAACTTAAAAACCCATTGAAATTACAGCCCAGTGTCTTTGAAAAGTCAGATTCTTCCATTAATTGAAGATATGGAGCAGATTTTTCAAAAAGACTTTGCTGTTGTTGGTAGGTGCCATTGCGTCATCTCCGACTCATAGTGACCCTGTGCACAGCAGAAGGAAACACCACCTGGTCCTGAGCCAGCTCCATGATGCATGCTATACTTGAACCCATCGCCGCTGCCACCATGTCACTCCATCTCATTTAGGGCCTTCCCCTCTTTCTTCGATCCTCCAACTTACCAAGCATGACATCATTCTCCAGGGAATGGTCAGTTCTAACTATATGACCAAAGTATGTGAGATAAAGTCTGGTCATTCTCGCTTCCAAGGAGCATTCCAGCTGCACTTCCTCCAGGACAGGCCTGTTAGTTCTTCTATCAGTCCACAATATTTTCAGCATTCTTCACCAGCACCACAGCTCAAAAGCATCAACTCTTCTTCGGTCTTCCTTATTCATTGTCCAGTGCTCACATACATATGAGGCGACTGAAAATACCATAGCTTGTGTCAGGCGCACCTTAGTCCTCAAGGAGACATCTTTGCTCTTCAGCACTTGAAAGAGGTCCTCTGCAGCCGATTTGCCTTGTGCTATACGTTCTCTGATGTCGTGGCTGCTTCCATTGGCGTCGACTGTAGAACCAAGCAACGTGAAGTCTTTGACAATTTCAATCTTTTCTCCATTTATCGTGGTGCTGCTCACTGGTCCAGTTGTGAGGATTTTTGTTTTCTTTATATTGAGATGTAATCCATACTGCAGACTGTATTCTTCAATCTTCATCAGTGAGTGCCTCAAGTCATCCTCACTTTCAACAAGCAAAGTTGTATTATCAGCGTATCACAGGTTGTTAATGATTCTTGCCACAATCCTGATGCCA